AAAGCTGGTGACATGGAAGAATACAGCATCACCAGACTAAGACTTAAGGATCATTTATACTCTCGACCGTTTCAAGCATTGTAAACGTCACTGCCCTCATGTGTCCTTTATGATGTCATAGATATAGCCAGCAGATGGCGCCAGAGGGCGGAGTCAAAAGTTTCACACAGCAACAAATAAAGCAAGTCAAGCAAGTCGTTGAAATCCAGAGCTTGGGCAGTGACTCGCAGCGTCAGAAACCAATGACAAAGGCATCCTTTAACGTCAGCATGATACACGGCCAGGAGCCATTTTAGTTTAACAGTGGCACGACAAGGACGAAAGTTAAGGCGGCAAATGTACGAGTAGGATGGGCGTGAGGGGCGGTGGATGGGTCCAACAAACACTGACCTTCACCTGAGAGAGCAGCATTCACTTCCTGTAAGATTCTAAAGCCAAACCCTGTTCTTTTGTCCTAAACCCAACCACGTGTTTGTTGTTGAAGGAAAAAAGTCAATTCACAGTATTGTACTGACGTAGTGCTTTTATTTTGAAAGAGACTGTATCAAACTGTACATTTCCTGTGAAAACAGAAGTGTATTTTGAAAACAGACAATGCATGTAACAGGCTGAAGTTGACACGGCGTCCCAGAACGTCAACAACCAACACACCCAGGGTACCTTGGACGTCATATGTGGACGTGGAAAGTCCATGACCAAACGTGGACATGTGACGAGGTCACAGTGAGGATGAGTTGAAGCGATGATTGAGGAGGTCGTCATACTGTACCTTTACACAGAGGCAGCGTTGCAGATGGCGGTGGTCTGTGCAGCCATAGTCTGAGTGGGCGGAAGTTCGCTGCAGAGATCAGCCTCTCATTGGGCGGAACGAGCCACCCGCTGAAGTCCCGCCCTACCACCTCCGGTTGTGTAGCAGTTTTCAACCGTTTCCAACACGTCCTTTACTAACTTTTGCGGTGTTTGATCTTGCGGGGATGTAGCCATTTTTCTGCCATGGTTCGCGTCCTGTAGGTGATATTTTTGTGGGCGTGTTACACCAAAACCTGTTTCCCCCCGGCAATATTTTTGCAAGCGCACCGTTGCTGTGGCACCGCCCAGAACGATTGTGATTGGTTGAAAGAAATACAAGCAGCCGGGGCGTTTTGTTTCTCCAATCTTAAAGTGAGAGTCGGCGCAGCCAGACCTTTCTTTTCTTGAGAAAGGTCTGGTGAGCGAGACTAGTGCGGCCATGAACACACACACACACACACTCATAGTCTCACAGATCCGGAGGAGCTGCTGTGTGTCTGTGTCTACATGAACTGTTCTTCATTTTAATATGTGCTGGACCATAACAACGGGGTCAGTCGAGGTGAACAAAAGTCTGTGACTGAGTACATGCCGGCCACTACCTGCTTCAAATTAAAAGTCCTCATTTCAAATTAAAAGTCCTCCAGTGTTTAAGACATGATCCAGCCACGCAGGGTTTTAAAAATACTTAAGTCCAAAATCAAACTCGCTGGGGGGTTTGGGGGCACGCTTTCATCCAACTGGCCGTGCGTATCACGCCGACATTAAAGGATGCATTTTTTCATTGGTTTCTGACACCACAAGTCACTGCCCCAGCGCCAGATTTAGACAACTTCGGAGTCAGACCGAGCTCTCCACCACCATCAAACCTCCAAAGGATCCTCCTTGGGTGTCTTGAACTCCATGTAGGCTGCCACCTCATCCTCAGGCTGCAAAGTTTCATGGCTGGAGTCCTCCACGTCGGTGACCAATGTGACCGCGGGGTCAAAGGTCACACTTGAGTCACTGACTTTCAAAATAAAAGGAGCTGCAGCTTGATAATAGTGATTTAGATGTTGGAATATTACACATATACTGCACAGCTTTTTACTGCGTTTTATTCTGAAAAATAAAGAATATATTTTTGTACTCACCTGCTGCCCGCCCACGTGGAGTTCATGTTTAATTTATACATATTTTAACCTTTTACACAGCTTTGTGAAAGTGACCCTGGGGCTATGTCCTGATACCTGACTCTGTGGAGGGCTCTGCCTTGAGGCAAAATTTAGCGTTAGAGTAACAGACTATAAAAACAATGGACAGTCTTTCCTGTCTTTCCTGCTTGTCCTCTGTTGATTTACTGCCTCCTCTTCTTCTCCCCTGTCTCACTGAGCTCTCCGAGGTGTGAGTGGAAAGTTACAGAGAGCTGGATGGTTGACCGTTTTCAAAATGTGCCCTCACTACATTTCACAGATACAACGGTCCCATCTCAGGTGATCCCGTACAGCTCCTCACCTTTTAGCAGTCAGCTTTGGACCTGGACTTTGAAGCTCGTGTACGTTCAGGACAACATGAATATTTCAGTAACAACAAAGACAGTTTTAATCCAAGGTGGAAAACTACTCTGTGGCTTCAGGTGTGTGCTTCTGCCACCTGTAGGATGACGTGTGTCCTCACTCTCAACAAACTTTTTCTTGGTCTCAAAGTGCACTTTTGTAACATTTTACTCCAGGTGTTGTTTGCTGAAACATGATGGAGCTCTGGGATGATTGTTCCTGTTTAGAAGCATGATAGAAAGGGGTGATATAGGTAGAAAAGAACATTAAATATAAAATATTGAATATAAAATTTTAATGAATATAAATAGTGGTTTAAATTAAGGTTTAAGTAAAATGCAAAGAGAGTGAGGTGCAAAATATCCAGCTCAGGCTTTCAGCAGAGCTCTGGTGTTCACTCCCCATGTCAGGTCCCCTGAGAGACGAACACCAAGGTACTTGAAGCTCCCCACCTGTTCCACCTCTCCTCCAGTGATGACCACACTGGCATGTGTCGTGTCCTTGTGTCTCCTCAAGTCAGTGACGAGCTCCTTTGTCTTGTTGGAGTTGAAGTGCAAGTCACTGTTGTGACACCAGGATGTGGGGGCCTGGATCTGTCTCATCATTGTTGGTTATTAATCCCTCCACGGATGTGCCCTCGGCGAACTTGTATGTGCACTTTGTGTTATGGATGGGAGTGCAGTCGTGTGTGAATAGTGAGTTTAAGAGTGGACTGAGAACACGGCCTTGGGGGGTGACGGTGTTGAGGATGGTGTGGTCTTAGGTCTTTAAAAATATTTCTCATAACATCTGACAGTCACTCCTGCAGACACGCTGATTCATTTCTTTCTGACATTATTGGGTGCTGTCAGTTGCAACATCAGCCGCTCTGTCAGCTGATCACAGTTAACCAATAGCACAGCGACACCCCTTCTTCATCAGCCTATCATCTCACTGCTTCATGTTTTAAATGTGGTTCTTTTTCTGCTCGGTGCAGTTGTGCGCACCCTCTACCTCCCCATCATCGCCCAGTCTTCGCAGATTCATCAGCCTCATCAGCCTTCAGTCTCAGAGTCATCAGCCACCAGTGTCTTGACTCCATGCTGGATTTACCTCATTACTGCTCAGATGGCGCTCGATTACAAATCTCCCTCGGGAGTCCAAGCACCAAAGACTTTTTGTCAGTTCATACTCATCACATCATCTGTTCATCTGTTCTACACAATCATTTTCACTCACTTGAGGCCACAGTGCTACGAAACCAGTTCACCTGACCCAGGATATCTTCTCGTTGTCTGGTTTGACTAACTCGTCACATTGTCTGTCCTATAAGGTACCACAAAGCTGGTTATCAACTTGTTCGGTCAACTCTGGGTTTTGGGTGCGTGTTCATGTGAGAGATGCAGGGTGTTAATTACGAGTAACATCATCAGAGCCATGAATGAAGGAGGCTGCTTCATATCAGATGAGATGACACTGAACAGAAAGTGGTGTGGGGTGGAAACAACAATCTGTAATCTTAAAACAGAAAATCTAGAAACATTTAAAACACTCCAAAAATACGCCGCCGGCCGAGACCTAAATGACGCGCAGGTATCACTGAGCTGTGTGTGACATTAATACAGAGTATTCTTTGCTGTTTAGAGTGATGATGATGAAACTCCTCTGAATGTGTCACATAAAGACTGTTTCTGCTGCTGAAGTACTGACCTATAGAAAACATACAGGATCCTCTTTTTTACCTGAGACTCTGGACTTTGGTCCATGGATACTTTATTCTTAAGTGATCTGATTGGTCAGAGGTCAGGGTGTCGACAGGCTGTGATCAGGTTAGCTGTCCAGCATCAGTTACCATGGTGATTTATCCCGGTCAAAAGACAACCAGCTTCATCGTACTGAAAACCCAGAGTTAACCCTGAAGTGACCTCCTCACTCCTCAGGTCCCTCTGATTGAACCAAACAGGAGCTAAATAGCAACATATCATTAATGTGGCATCAGTGGACGATGAGCAGCATTAGGTGTCCATCTAGTGGCTAAAACCAAATATTAAATATCATCTTGAGTGTGTCCAGAGATGCAGCAGGGCGGCCTCTGTGGGATTCATATGAGCCAACACACCCAGGGTACCTCGCACGTCGTATCTCGGAAAGTCAATATGTGAAAAGGTCAGAGTGAGAATGTGTTGAAACATCCGGTGCTGACACAGAGCCAGTCCAGCAGGCGTCAGCACACAGTCGAGTAACACTATTAATATGTTGACTGTTTTATCTGGAATGAGAAATTTTTGCCTTTTTTTGGGCAATTTTTATGTCAACATTTTATCTGTGCAGTGCTCCCTCTGTCCCTCTGTGTCATTTGATCACTCCACCAGACTTCACACAGTATTATTAGGTAATACTGCGTGGATTTAACCGCGTGGATACCTCTGAGTCGTTTCACACCCTCCATCAGACAGGTGAGATTTGTCCCAACTTGTGTAGTGAGCACAGGACCGCCCAGCTCTGTATATGGGGCATTCCAGGGGCCCTGTGCCGGCCTGGGAGCCCTAAGCATTCGTTTCGTCTGCTTATGCATTAATCCAGCTCTGACTGTTCACATGCAGGTGAGGACACTGGGAAGCTCAACAAATATTTGTAATCTAACAATTAAACACTGGAGTTCAAATGATTCTCACTGGACAGAGCAGTGAAACTGTCCTGCTGCTGTTCAACACTCTGAGATGCACAGAATTCCTGTTTGCTCGCAGAGTAACTAAACCTGCTTGAAAGTGTAAACATACATCTCCAGAGGGCGTCTGTGTGTTTGAGGCAGAGGTTTCTGTCACTCCTGTTCCCCTTCAGCTACGTTCTCCCTGTTTTCTGTCGTTCTCAGTCATTTGGACATCAGCGAGTGAAGAAGACAGCCAGCGTCCATCATGGCTGTCAACATCCCCGGAGTGATAGCCATGGTGTTTTTCTACCTGCTGGTCCTCGGGACCGGCATCTGGGCTTCTTTCAAGTCCAGAAGGAAACAGCAGAAAAGTGCAGCGTCTGGAATGGAGATGACCCTGCTGGGAAACCGCAGCATTAACTTGGTGGTGGGGATCTTCACAATGACAGGTGAGGACGACACAGCTGACAATTAGAAGAAGATTCCAAGGATGTAAAATACTTAAACCTTTCCACAGCACAGGTGTTTTATGGCTGCAAAACAACAGAAAGAGTTTAAGTTCAGATTCACCTTTACTGACTGGACCTGACACCATGTTGTGATGGGATCACACCAGCCAGCTTGACATTATAGTTTAACGGTGCCTGGTGGCGTCAGGGGGAACACAGCGGGACAAGGACAAAAGTTAAGGCGGCGAAAGCCTGCGAGGGGCAGCCAGGAGGGAGGCGTGGGGGAGGGGTCGAACAAACACTGACTTTCACCTGAGAGAGTGGTCATCACATCCTCACAGACTGTAAAGCCAAACCCTGTTCTTTAGTCCTAAACCTAACCACGTGTTTTTGTTGTTGAAGGAAAAAAAGTCAACTCGTGGTGTTGTATTCTCACAGACTTGGCGCAAGTGCCTTGGTCCTGACCACATCACTATCGTGCCACAAATGACATTAAAGCCTCTCGTGTTACATTGTTTAAGTAGTAAATGAAAAGACAAGTTAGTGAAATTAAAGCCGTATGTTGCCGACAGATTGGGCACTTTCATCTTGTGTATTCTCATACAGAGGTTTGTGTGATATCTTATGAACCGGCACCCCACAGATGACATTACTTAAAGGATAACTTAGGTATTTTTCAACCTGGGCCCTATTTCCCCATGTGTATGTGTGCGTATGATTCATAGGTACAACTCGTTTTAAAATTGGTTCAGTATTGAGGGAGGCGGATGCAGCCGGGAGCCACGAAACGAGCTAAAACAGTAACGGGGGCAAATGCGTCCCGTAAGTTTGCGCATTAAAAGTGCTTTTTTTCGCCACTGACCAGTTCATATCACCAGTGCTATCTCTGTAGATAGCATACTAAGCGTTTTGAACATTGTTTATATAACATTACCTCCACTGTGTCTGTAGCTCTCTCTACTCGTGGGGCAGCCGTTTTCTTGAGGAAGAGGTGTTTCGGGATTGGATGTCTTCTCTTCTTCGGCTGGCAGTAGTCATCTTGGGAGAAGTGAGCACTGCAGACCCGATGGTCTGCAAGGCGCAGTGTCTGGACAGGAGTGTTAGCATCCATTTGTAGCACAACTAGCCACAACTTCAGCATCTCGCCGTCCGACAAAGACAGCCTATGAAAGCTGTAAGAGGTGTTGCGCGACATCCTGTTCTTGCAATTCGGATAAGCACAAACACGAACCATTGTTTTCAATCGATGCAGTAAAACTCTCAACTGTACTCCGGGACAATCAGCGCCACTCTGAGCGGCGCTCAGCATGGCTCCTCTGTTTTCTTCCGGCAACAAGCAAAGCTCTCGCGAGATGACGTCACACACAGCCCAGAGCAAGTGAAGGGTAAGGGAAACGCTTAGTATGCTATCTACAGAGATAGCACTGGTGATCTGAACCTGTCAGTGGCTAAAAAAAGCACTTTTAATGCGCAAACTTATACGGGATGCATTTGCCCCCATATCTACCATTTTAGCTCGTTTCGCGGCTGCCGGCTGCATCCGTCTCCCTCAATACTGAACCAATTTTAAAACGAGATCCTTCACTCCTACTTTTCGTAGGAAAGATGTACGATCAGTGCATGAGAGCAGTCTGCTTGTGGTAATCCAAAATGATATAAATCACTTTAAAGGAACAGACATGTCAGTCATGTTTTTGTTTTTTGTTTTTCCTTCTGAAAAAGAGCGAGGCCACACATGAGTAAACTTTGATTAACGAAGTCACAGCCTCGAGCAAAGTGTTGTTGTTGCGCTTAACAGGCTGATATTGTGTGATAAGGGTGGGTCACCAGAGGACCCATGATACGATATCATCACAATATGTTATTGAGTATTGCGATAAAATATATTGTGATTTATTCCCTTTTTTTAACTGTAAATTATGGCCCAAAGGAAAACTTTGTCGACATCTGTTTTATCTAATAAGGTAAAGTTTTCAGTCTCGTGTCGGCAGCAGCAAAATGTATCTAGAGGACTGAAAAACCAAATGATTTTATCATTGAAGTGGGCTACCTAAAGTCTAATTTGTATTTATAATGTTTTTTATAATAAAAAATAGACACTTGGCACAGTGTGTCGATACGATATTGCCACACAAAAATATCACGATACAGTGCTGTATTGATTTTTAAGTATAAACTGTCTGACGAGAGATGCAGCATGGCTGACAGTGAGTCGGGGGAGACACACATGGAACGAAAGCAAATGGAAAATGTACGATAATGTCATAATTAATGGTGTTTATTATCAAGCTAGCTAACATTAGCTAACGTGTGTGCGTGTTCACTCCTGTATTAGCAAGTAACGTCAGGTAGAATTAATATCTGTTTCCATGTCACTATGTGTGCTTCCCCCGAAAACATACTCAGATTCAGGTGGTAACATCCCCGGGGGAAGATCATAATTTGTGCGTCAGGCAAGCAGAGACAAAGACTGTAGAGCCACGAGACAAACGGCCAGGAATGAGCGGAGACAGGCCGGTGTATTTGCTGCAGGGCTGCTCCTGCAGTGACAGGGAGATGTAGTGCAGAGGGCAAAAATGTGCACACGGCCCGGAGGTTTCTATCTGACAGCACCTTGAGGCCTAAATATACATCAGTACATCTGAACAGCGTTATGAGCAGGGAGGTGTCTTTGAAACGTATCATTACATAATCCATTACCTGTTTTTAAATCATTGCTTAAATCATATTTTTATACAAATAAATATTATTATTATTATATCATGAAGATATTTAAACTCATAAAAAGCTCTAGTCTGCTGTCGATCAGTCAAAACTCTTCACACGTGTCAAACTAAATCTTTAATGTTCAGTTTGTTTTCTATTTTCACTTTTCTTTGAATCACTTGGACATCAGAATTTTCCACACTGACAATATGATATGAACAAATCATCTCACTGAGAGAAGATCAGTGATGATGAGTTATCATTCATGCTCTGTCCAAACAGCTGCTGCTTGTCAAATGAATCACTCTCTCTGTGTTAATTCGTCCTGCAGCTACCTGGGTCGGAGGAGGCTACATCGTTGGAACAGCTGAGATGATATACACGCCTTCCATGGGACTGATCTGGGTGGTCGTGATGATACTGGCGTTCAGCTCATGTTTTATTATCAGTAAGAGTTCACACCTGACATGTATGTGTGTTTGGACAAAATAAATATGGCCTGACAATCTCTGATCGGACAGGAATAATCATGACCTGGATTACCTCGTGCGTTGACACGAATGAAACCCCCCAAAATCACATCAGTACAAAGTAATCGTAAGTGCTAATATCGTAGGCAACTGGACTTGCTTGCGTTTCTTGAAGACGTTTCGCCTCTCATCCAAGAAGTTAGTTTCAGAGTCGTTAAGGTCACAATGTGAGTCGTTAGGGTCAGGTAGGACCAGGGGTGAAGTCGTCTGGGGACGGATCCCAGGACTACATTGTAGGTGGATGATAAGTGGTGTCGTAAGCCAGCCCCTCTGTGTAACGACGGTTGTTACAGCTTGACGTAGATGACTTCTTTTACTCCTCTTTCAACCCATCTTTCCTCCCTGGCCAAGATGTGCACATTGCTGTCCTCAAAGGAGTGTCCCTTCTCCTGTAGATGTAAGTGGACAGCCGAGTCTTGACCCGAGGAGCTGGCTCTCCTGTGTTGTGCCAAGTGTTTGTGGAACGGTTGTTTTGTCTCCTCAATGTATAAATCTGTGCATTCCTGGCTGCACTGAACTGCTCACACTACATTACTCTCTGGGTCTATAGCGTGCGACTTCGTACCAGTCATTTAGAACTGAAGAAGCTTCTTGGATGAGAGGTGAAACATCTTCAAGAAATTCAAGCAGGTCCAGTTGCCTATGATACAGCACTTACCATTACCATGACCTGGATGACTGAGAACCTTCACCAACCAGTCAGTACAGAGTCCTGCACCAGGTCGGGTACCTGCAGGTAAAAGCCGTGTAAAGGGTAAAAAAAATGAAGCTGTGCAGTATATGTGTAATATTTTGACACCAGTGTAACCTTTGACCCCGTGGTCACATTGGTCACCGACGTGGAGGACTCCAGCCATGACACTTTGCAGCCCGAGGATGAGGTGGCAGCCTACATGGAGATGGGATCCTTTGGAGGTTTGATGGTGGTGGAAGGAGCATGCTAACATGTTTCCTAACCTGGCAGTGATTGAATGTTTTCACCATCCAGTCAAAGAGACGTCCAATTCAACAACGGAGAACCAGCTTAATGTGAGGGACTGGAGCCTGGGGGGGTTTGATCATGGTGCAGCTTTGTCTGAGACAAAATGACAGGTAACAGGTCGGTTCTGGTGCTGAGCTTTACGGGTATGGGCGGGTGCAGGTTTTGAAAAATGTACCTGTGCAGGACTCTGACCTGGGCTACCTCGTACCTTGACATGAATGAAACCCGTTTCGTCCGTTGTGGAAGTGGAAACAAAAAACTGTACAAACCGCACTGGACTGCTCGGTGGAAACGGGGCTTTATATAGCTGAGAAGCAGCAGCACACCTGGTCTGAGTTGACCAATGAAGCACTTCCTCCTTAAAGAGAAGCACAGCCCAAGCAGAGGGCAGGAGGGAGAAAATGAATCTTCACACTTTTGCTCCAGACTTTAGCCACCAGTCTGCAGTCCACTCTGCATTTCCAAAGGGACCTAGACAAGGGGAAGTGAGAGTTTTACTGCCGAGCCTCAGGCAGGTAACATGAAGGAGATCAGTTTTCAGGAGAGGTGGGAGGGAGAGGAAAGGTGCACTTTGTGTTTGTTTACTAGAAAGTTCATGTGTTGTGGGGTAATGAGAGGATATGGCAGAGTTAGCCTCTGAAGAAAACTGAACCACATTTTTGATTTGAAGCCGATGAAAAAAGTGTCCTAAATAACCTGCACATCAGAAGATAAATGATGACACACATTCACAGACTTTACTGAACCTCAGGGTGTCACCTGAAATCTAATCCTGTCTCCTGTTTTTGTTTTTTTCCCCTCGAATTTATTATTTTATTCTAATTTTAATGTCCTCTGATCTGTTTTAAATCAAGCTGGTTTGGTGTTTGTGAAGCCGATGAGAGAAAAAAACTGCCTGACGATGTTGGACCCTTTTCATGTCAAGTATGGAAAAGAACTGACAGCTGGACTGAGCGTGGCTCCGATTGTTAGTGATTTGCTCATGGTGACGGCAACACAGATTGGTTTAGGTATGTATCTCTAACTGTGTTTATATATATTTGTTCAGTAAAATAAATGTATGTGGATGTAAATTCCTGTCAGCGGTGTGCAGATATGACTTCCTATATAACCGTCCTCTATAATCCCATTCAGATTTCATTCCTTATTTTTTTCATATTTAACCTGCTCTAGTTTAGCCTGTTATTAATACTGACTATGCACCAAAATACACTTTTACAGTACATTACTGATGACAAACGAAACCAACAGTCAAACTGTTCAAGGGCATTAACCACAAATGATCGCCAGTCTCACCTGAACAAATAAAGACAGACTTCCAGCTTCACCTGCTATTAGTGAGAAGGTAGAGCACAGAGTCGGCCCAGCCAGACCTTTCTTTTCTTGAGAAAGGTCTGGCTGCGCCGAGTCAACATTTCATCCACCACATATCCAACGACAGTCTTCATCACCTCTCTGTGTCTGCAGCTGTCTACGATTACAATCCAGTTTAGAGTTGGTTGTTTAGCGCTACTGTCGACCTCTGCAGCCGAGGAGGGCTCACCTTTGGTGGGGTGTATTTCCTGGAACTTCACATTTTTGTGTTGTCGGTCGTAGTAGCTGAGGTGTTTCAGACTGGAGGTTTGAGGACGTGTTTTTCGCAGTGGGAAGAGTTTTAGTCTGACAACCTGCAGCAGCAGAGTTCTTGTCATCTTTCCTCCTGACAGAATCAAAGAAACATTTCCAACCAGCTTGCTGCTTTGACGATTACTAAAATGAGTCCGCTGATGTGATTCTGTATTTAAAGTCAGCAGTGATGTGATAACAAAAGTAATGCTGTAAAAAGTTGTTTGGTTTTGGAGTAACTGTGATATTATTACTGAAATTTCATTAGTAATTAGTTACACTACTGGTTATTGGAAGAAGTAACAACAAAACACAGTGCAGCGGGGCGACAGGCGATCACCTCTGCTTGGAGTCAGATTTGTGTAAACCCGATTGCCAAAGTCTTTGACATAATGTGCTTGATAGGAGGAACCATGAGTGTGGTCCTGGATATGCCTTACACTGTGTGCATTTGGATCTCCGCTGCAGTCGCCATTACCTACACACTGCTGGGAGGTCTCTACTCTGTGGCCTACACAGATATTATACAGCTTGTGCTCATATTCGTCAGCCTGGTGAGTTTGATATATAGTAAGTTTTTATGGTGGCAGTCTTTTTGTTTTAAGAAAACACTGGTACACGAGGCATCAAGAACTCCCAGAGATGTGTTAAAAATTGTGTGTTCTTCATTTGGATGTTGTTTCTTTTGTGTCTCTGCAGTGGGTGTGTGTTCCCTTCGTCCTGATGAACCCACACTCCTTGGACATTGGGCAGACAATGATGAACAACACCTTACACGCTCCCTGGATTGGTGCACCGGGGTCGGAAAAGGCCTGGATAATGATTGATCAGTTCTTATTCTTTGTAAGGAAACAGCCATTAGAGCTGCAGTGTACTCAATGCAACGCCTCTAGTCTTGATAGACACACTTTAAATTAAGCAACTGTTTTTTGACTTTGAAGGCACTGGGGAGTGTGGGATACCAGTTTGTCCATCAGAGGACCTTGTCGGCATCTTCCACAGCCACAGCCAAGATCTCCTGCTTTGTTGCTGCTTTCATGTTGCTTGTATTTGGGACACCTCCCATACTGCTTGGGGCAACAGCTGCATCCACAGGTATTAACAGCTTCTAAATACTCTGATCATGCAAAGACATCCATGCCTGTTGTGTGTAATGTTACCATTTCTCAGTGTTTCCTTCTTTTGCGTCCGTCCCTCAGACTGGAACCTGACCTCCTATGGTTCTCCATCTCCATACGAACGTGGGCAAACGGCCTTAATTCTGCCCATCACCCTGCAGCACCTCACCCCGCCCTTCGTCTCCATTATCGGCATTGGATGTGTGGCTGCTGCCGTGATGTCATCTGCTGACTCTCTGATGCTCTCTGCAGCTTCTGTCTTCTCCTCCAACATATACAAGAACATCCTGAGGCCTCGGGTAAAAAAACAAACCAAAATAATTTATGTTCTTTCAATGTGCTCCATCACACCAAAGACAACTGGCTAAAATACTGGGTGCGCTTCATTTGTGCAAACCTTCTGTTTGCCACTGTGAAAGTGTGATGTTTATTTTAAAAGAAAGGGAACAAAGTGAGGGAGACTGTAGACATGATGGCGTGGCACGAAGGAGAAACAAACCAGGAAGGAAGCAGGACTGTCTCAAATTGTTTCCTTACATCTGGTTACATCCCAAAGTACTTTAAATAAACCTTTATTAAAAAAGCCTGGCCTTGATAAATCTCTTCCACAGAACTACAGGCACATTTCTAAGCTGCCTTTCTTTCTTCTTGAAAAGGTGGCGCTATCCTAACTCTTACTTGTGTTAAATAATAACATGTGAGGCTGCTTCTACACCTGCCCTGTTTGGCTCAGTTCAATTGAACTCAAGTTCATTTGTGCAGGTGTGAACACAGCAAAACAACCGGACTGAGACCTTCTTGAAGAGGTGGTCTCAGTCCGGTTCCAAAGGAACTCTGGTGCGGTTGGTTTGTGGTGAGAAGGTGTTCCGACCTGGATGTGAAGCAACTGCAGTCACATGACACATTGTTTGGGTTAAACATGAGCATGTTACAGTCCTGGAGGATTATTAATGTGCACCTCCTCCTGTACTGCCTTAATATGCACATTCAGCACATCCAATGCATCAAAACATTGTTTTCTAGTTGGAGCCGCGCCTCGTTTTCAAACTGTATGGTTTGACTAAAATGAACAATGACAGCAATATAGTCCACGATGAGCAGCGCTAAAATCAACCTGCGTAGTTGTCCCTCCATTGTGACATTAGAAAGTGTCACATTTATCTTGCAAGTGTACTCTTCTTCAACGTTTGCTTTACTTCCTGGATTTTTCCCACATGGAAATTCTGACCAATCAAGAGCAGCTTTCTCACACAAGGCATTTGATCTGGTCCTCTTGTAAATGCTGCCGTGAGAACACCAACCAACTCTAGGCAATTATACAACTTTGGAACAACATGAGTCCCTGATTCAGACCAGAGGAGACCACTCTAGGGCTGACAGCAGCCTGAGAGCTCTTTAGATTATTTTTTAAATTATTGTAATCTTACTGTCTACTACTTATTTTCTTGCAGTTTGTAACTTCAGTTATTATTATTATTATTATTATTATTATAGTATTTGCTGTTTACCTGTTGTTGCTGTTGTTCTTCTTCTTCTCTACTTCCTGCTTTAGGCCTCAGACAGAGAGATCCAGTGGGTGATCCGTGCCTCTGTGCTGGTGGTAGGCTTGGTGGGCACATCACTGACCAGCCTGCAAAACAGCATGTTAGTTTTTCTGTTCATTTCCAACGAAGTGGCCTACATCGTAATGTTCCCTCAACTCATCTGCATCATCTTCTTCAACATCTCCAATGGTTATGGAGCTATCATGGGCTTCCTGGTGGGATTTACATTGAGACTGCTCAGTGGAGAACAAACGTTAGGATTAGAGCCAGTCATACACTTCCCAGGATGCACTCTTGAGGACGGTGTTTATATCCAGTACTCTCCAGTGAAAACCATCTCCATGCTGTCTGGCTTTGTCGCCATCTTGTTGTTTTCCTACCTTGCGTCTGTGCTCTTCAACAAAGGCCTGCTTCCTGAGAAGTGGGATGTGTTCAACGTGAAAGTGCAGAACTCGCCACAGCCACTGACACAGAAAGATGACGACGCAAAATATAATGAGAGGGAGAAAGTGGATATAAACAACTATCAGATGGAGGCGTCAGAGCCAATGATTAACACGAGCTGTTAGTGTTTCTGTGTATAGTAGAATCTGTTTCCTGAAACATTAAATACACTTAATACAAGTGTACAGCTCAAAGTATATCACTCTGGAGATTCCTGCATTCAAAGGATTTTTCTTTTACTGATCAGCTCATGATAATTTTTATTTGCTCTTAGAATGTTTTATATTTGCCCTCAACTTTGTTCCTCTCACCCAGTGTCAGCAGGGATAGGCTCCCCATGGAGTTCAAGACACCCAAGGAGGATCCTTTGGAGGTTTGATGGTGGTGGAAGGAGCATGCTAACATGTTTCCTAACCTGGCAGTGATTGAATGTTTTCACCATCCAGTCAATGAGACGTCTAATTCAAGAACGGAGAACCAGCTTCATGTGAGGGACTGGAGCCTGGGGGGGGGGGGAGTTTAATCACGGGTCGGGTCGGGTGGCAGGACTTTTATTAACAGGTGTGGGCAGGTGCGGGTTGTCGAAAGTGGACCCTTGCAGACTCTCTGCTACAGTTGGCCTTTGGGACAAATCGGCAGCAAGGTGTAATGACTAATATATAAGTACCTCTTTGTCATTTTCATTTATGATTTATAGGCTCCTTTGTGTTTGTTGTTGGTATTTTCTCTGTTGTATTGATATTGATTTATTCTTTTATTTCATTTATTCCTTTTCAGTTTTCCATATTTTGGCTTCAAATTCTACAACAATCACTTCCATTTAAATGACGGCAATGTTCTACGTTCGTAGCTGCAGTGGTCTTTTGTCTTCTCTGCTTGTTCCAGCTTCTTTTTAAACCTGTGCAAGAATAATATTTCACACAAGAATGAACAACAACATGGCTCGTACGATGACCAAATGTCCCCAGTGTTGTCTGCATCAGCCAAGATAACACTCTCAGTTTAGCAGTGCAGACTGCAAGGCCAATTTATCTGGATCACTTAGAGATATTCTGTGACATGGTGTCTGTCTTCACTGAAAATAGAGTTATTAAAATAAAGCAGGATGTCATAAATAAAGGGGACATTTTGCAGAGCTGAAGGAAACGTTGAGCAGAAGAGTATCAGAATGAAAAATCAACAGAAAGTTGTTTCCTCTTGAGTTGCTGTCTCTAATTCTTCTCCCATCTCTCACTGGGCTGTCCAAGGTGCCACTCAAAGTTACAGAGGGGAAGACAGTCAGCTGTTATTTTAAATTATCCCTCAGTGCATGTCACTAAATTCCTCAGATGCAACAATCTGATTTTATGTGATCCAAACAGCTTCACTTCCCTCTTCCTCCAGCAGAGGGCACTGCAGCTTTCTCATTAGACAGAGAGGTGGGAGAAGAAGACCAGGTGGCCAGAGAGGCGATTAAAAACAGAGTCCAACAGAGATGAACTTCTCAGTATCCACTGTGTGATGCTCTGATCCAGGGCTGTTCAATTACAAAGTCTATCAGGCCGGATTTAAGAACCAGAAAATGTCGATGGGTCAGACGAGCAACCTGTTGAACTTTTTTTTTATTAGCTTTTGGTAATGACAAATTTTAAAGAAATGTAAATGAATATAGTTAAAGTATCAATGTTAATTATTTCCCATTTGAA